ATTCTTTCTGCTGGTGACACAGCCCACCCTCCCGTTGCTTTATTGCGGCAGGACGCTGCTCGCTCACATTGAGCTCGTCGTCCGCCCACGTCCCTTTCCCCAGAGCTGCTCCGCAGCCGGGCAGATCCCAACCAGGGAGATCCCATCCGGGCAGATCTCAGCCTGTGCCGCGCTCCTGGATTATGTCTTCCCAGGTGCAAGACCTCACACTTGTCCTTCTTGAACTTCCTAAGGTTTTCGTTAGCCCACTCCTCCAGCCCATCCAGGTCTTCCTGCGGGGTGGAAGCATCTCTCCTGAAGCGTCCGCTGCCCCAGGAATGTTTGGTGCCATCAGCAACCTTCAGGGAACGCTTGATCCCATCATCTGGATCACTTACGAAGACACTAAATATATATCGATCCCTGGGGGACCCCACTTGCGATGGGGAAGGCAGCACCCACCCTCCATCCTTCCTCACCGTGACTCCGCTCCTCCCTATCCTTCGGAGAGGGATGTATCCCAGTTCCCTCCCCACTTTCAGTCAGATGAATCACCTCTCCCAACCTCCTTGCGAGGTCTCCGTGTTCCCACAGTGCCCACATTGCACCCGGAGCCCAACTGGGCTTCTTGGCTCTGTTTTTTTAGGAGCTGTCCCTGGGATAATCGAGCCATTCAGGCTCTCCTGGACAGGCCCTGCTCCGAGACAAAGCAGACCTTTGAGGGAGCACCGAAACACGGTGCTGGGGATGCCGCTGCCTCGGGCTCCCTCCCCGCACGCCACCAGCTGAAGCTGCTGGGCCCAAATTTGGGTTTTTTTTTGCTGTACCTAAAGCTGAGTGAGGAAGAAACTGGGTGGTGGGAAAGCCTGAGGGTACCAGGACTCCAATAGCTGACTCCCCCCTTGTCCTCAGCACCTCCGGGTAGGTCCCATGAGGATCTCGGTGCAGAAACGGCGATGGGATGGAAAATAACCTCCACTTTGGAGAGACAGGACCCCCACGGCACACGTTGCAGGCTGCGGTGTTTCCTAAGGAGCCGCCTCATCTCTTGCCCAAACCCTTCTCGGCCAAACCGACCTACCCGAGACCTCGGAGCCGGCTTGAAATCACTGAAGGGTCTTTGAAAGCCCCGTCCCGGCATCCTGTGCACCTTTGTGCGAGGAAAACGCGGTCCGCAGCCAGCTTTCCCCCTCACCAGCAGCTGCCTGCTCCCAGTCTCCACAGTGCCCAGCAGCTCCCCACAAAAACCTGACCTCCGCGGTCCCAGGTCTGGCGTGGAGGGGCCCGTCTGTCCCTCGGACAAGGGAAAAACCTCACTGCTCCTTCTCTCTCCCTCCTGCAGGACATCCCGACGCTCCCGGGAGCCAGGCGGTCATTGCTGTGTTTCGTACCCGCAACAGCCCCGTGTTTGAGCTCCTGCCGTGGTGCGTAGCGGTGTTTTTTGGGTTGATTTTGGGTGCC